ACTGAGAAGTGTTTATACTGACACATGCACCAGAAACCAGGACATTAGAGTGAAGTCTAAACAGCTGTCATGGGAGAACCTGCAGCACATCCACACTCCTAGTTGGGAATGAGAACAGCAAGGGGTCTTACCGTGAATTTCTTGTAGAGCTCATAAGTGAGGAGAGGGTTGGGCAATTCCCTGAAGTAGAGCTTGCAGAGTGACCCCACACAGTGAATGTCCTGGAGATAAACTTCCCTTGTCAGGTCTGGGCATTGGTCAGAAACAAACTCTTGTCTGAAACAACGTAAAGATATAACAATGTGGACAAATAAAAGCTGTGGCAGCCCAGTACTTCACTCTGAGTTCTCTTCTACAGCCAGAGGAGAAAGCAAACTGGAAAGCAAAGATGTCTCTGTATTACCTGCAGCCTTGCCCAGATTGTCTCCTGGACTCAGAGCCCTAGGTCTCAACCAGCTTCTGGTTCTATGGATGGACCCCAAACTGACATAAAGAGATTGCTTTGTCTTGAAGTGAGAGAGAACAACTCAGCATTTGTGCTGAGACACTCCAGGCCTCCTTTCTCATTAATGGATTCAGAAGATTTTTCTCCTTGTCATGGAATAATCGCTGAAATGCTGTATTTCCCTATTACCACCTTTAGAGCCAGTTGCCTTTAGGTCTAGTATCCTCTTCACTGGGGCAGAACTATGTTAGCCCCAACATATGCCTGAGGGAATAACAGCAAAATGGTACTGAGCAGTGTCACTGAAACCCTCTGGTGCTTAAACAGATTGCCCTTACCTCAGCTTTTGTATGTTGGACGTCACTCCTGAGAGGCGGTAGATCCCATCCACAATGCCATGTGTCTCAATGAACTCTGCACAGCTCTTCAGCACATAGGGGACTAAGAGAGGAAAGGAAGGCAAGATCCCCAATGAATGAATACATACGGAGAGCCACAAGTCACCACAAAGGAGACAGTTTAATGCAACACCAGCAGAAGCGGTCTGCAGGACACAAGGAAGGGTACGGTAATGGGAGAAATACAGAGAAAACAAAAAATAAACTCCTCCTTCTCCCTCACAAAGTAGCCATAGCCAATCTACAGAGTGAGGCAGGAGGATGTGCTATGGCTCTACCACGCCACACTCATTGTCATTATGAAAATGACTGAGTCTGAAGTCACCAAAGTGTTGTCGGAAGAGAGGTAGGGCTTCTTTTTTTTCTCCCCCCAGAAAGAGAGGCAATTTCACTCTAATTGAAAGCATGAGGTCCTGGGAATCTCCCCCTTCCCCAAGACAGAGTTCCAGCCTTGCTGAATCAAGCCAAAAGGTCTCACTGGCTTGGATAAAAATCAGAGAAACATTCTCATTTCCATATAAGCCTACATACCCCGGGGTTTAGTGCTCATAAACTCCCACAGAGGGGGTATGAAGTTCAAATATTGACTAGATCTTCACACTGACAAAATCTGACGTTGCCTTCAAAAAAACTCCAGCAGCATAACCAGCCAAGGACTTGACACACCTTAAAACTGAGAGGAGCCTGAGGCACAACAGTTATATCCAGATCTGGATCCAAACTGAGTGTTTATTCTTTCCCATTATACAGGTATAGGAACCCCTCATGCTCTTGATCAGACCAAGCCTCCCTGTCCCCAGTACTATAACAACCCTAGCTATAACAATAACAGTAAGAGACTCCTTCCTTATTAGGTGCTAGAAACTACTCTGTATTTAATGCAATGTTTCACACAGTTATAAGCACAAAAGTCAGTAAATGCAGAAGTTAAAGCCCCTCACTGTAATGCTGACTCTGCTGCACTGTAGAGAAGAGAACAGATTAAGCCACACATTTGACAGGGAAACCAGCCATAGCAATTACTGCATATTTGCAACACCACAAAAATAATTTCTCTGGCTGGACCTTGCCTAACATCTTCTGCTCAAAATCTAGGAACATAATGATATATTAATGTATCCTTCATCATGGAGGATCCAAAGATAGCACTCCGGGGACAATCTGAACAAAAAGGAGCTGGTACATTGCTGTTTTTCTCATATGTGCCACTGAGGCCAGAGCCAGCTCACTGTTTCTCAGAAGTGTGGGCTAAACTGAATTTTGCCATTTCAGGAGTGAGAGGCTGGATAACCTGTGTCACAGGACAGGGGGCAGGAATGGTCCTCCCAGCCAGTAGCTGCCATCTTGGTCTAGAACCAGCACAACTGGATTTCCAAAGGGAAGAGCTCATACAAGGAGGCACCACTTCTCACCCAACAAGCTGATATGATTTATTAATGTCTTGAATGATGTAAGGATCTTGGGTCTGGTTCTTTTAATGCTGAATGTAACGATAGATTCCTCCATGCGTGTTCTCCTCCCAGAAGCAGAAAAAGTCCGATGAGAGCCACATAGAGGTGCATATCTTAGCAATCTATTCCAGTGTGACTTCTCTTCATTTTTACAGTGATTCTATGCCTGCCCCTACTAGGCAAACCAGGGCACAGTCTCCACTGAGGAGAGCTTCCAACCCAGTGTCCACCTCAGTGACACACTATTACTGAGCCCAGTCAGTCAGGGAAGTGCTACCCTTCCTCCTCTCTACTCTTACTGGTGGAGGTAAAGAAGTTCTTCCTGTGTGTATCCCTTCTCTTCTCCAGAGTGGTTCAACCCAAATGAAGGAATACACCTGTTTACTTGGAAATCTGAATGACCCAAACAGACTAATTCTCCTCAGTAGAGGTCATAGGTGTCCCTTCAGAACAAGAGGGAAAAATTTACTTGCTTTTAGCACAGGGATTCACAGTGCAGGTGCATTAAGCCACACTAAAAGCCCTCAGGCTGATTTTTAAGTCCCTCAAGACGATGAGCTAAGACTAACTAAAGCTCAGCTTCTGTTTGGGGCCTTAACCTATTACAACAATGTTCATGGGAAACCATGAAATCACCAAGAGAACAGGTGAGGTCAACAGAGTCAAAGCTTTCTCCACAGTAGCCACAGAGCTATAGGATTCCCTCCTCAAGGACTTTTTCACATCACTGCCTTCAGGAGGGAACATAGGAAACACTCCTTTCAGTACCTACAGCACCCACTTCCTAGAGCAACAAATGACGTGGAAGGAGACAGATAAAAATAGAAGCATGAAACTTCCTAAAAATCCTACCAAGAAAAGCCTAACTTCGTATTTGTGACATAGCAAGAAGGAGGACCTTATCTCTAATTATCCGTAACTGTAGTAGGGAACTCGGATCATATGATGATGAGCATGCTAGAAATAAAAAGACGGAAAGGAAAATGACTTCCAGCCTCTTCTTCATTCGTGTCTGTTCAGGCCATAAGGTCTTCGTGGCAGGAGCTACGCATACATGGCATATTAAGATTTCCTTCTTGGTTGGGACATCCAGGAATATATGTAATATAAACAGCAAAAATCAAATCTAGACAGATCCATGATCACTTCAGATGCTTTTGGGTGGGAGAATGGGTGAATCACTCCTTGCTACATTGAAGAGGAAGAATTAATTGAATGGAAAATTTATCTTAGCAGAAAAGCAATGTGACAAAGTATGTTAAAAAATAAAACAGCCTTTGATATAGACAAACCTCACACGACAGTGTCTAGCTAACACAAACGGAGTCCGTGCCTACAGCACCATTCGTTAGGCGCTTTTTAAAATCTCAGTGTAAAGGATAAGCCCACCAAATACATTGAGAAGTTGTTTGTTGTGACTAATTTGACCTCTTGAAAGTAAGACCTTTTAAATCACTCTTTCTTCTTCCTGAGTTTTACATTTCCTTGGGGGATAAATTAGGTCAAGAGGCTTCAGGCAGGAGGCAAACCTCTTATACACAAACTGGAGAAGGTTAGCTCCATCTGTTGCAGGCTGGTAAGCAAGTGAAGGGACCTGAGGGGAATAATCTGCAGCAAATGTATAAGATTTAACGCATTTTTAAAAGTAGGTGAAGACAGCATTACTGAAATATAGAGGCTTAGCCTGCACAATAGAGACCACCTTATAGACTGCCGATAGACAATATGCACCAAGCTCTGCCAATACCTCTTGCTCCTGCCCTGCAACACCCCCTGTTCCAGCTCTGGCCTTCTCATGATTCTCTGCCAGTGCCCTTTGCTCACCATGTGCATGACTTCCTGCCATACCAGGTCTTTGACTCTTACAAAGAGAAATAGCTCGTTATGCCAAAATGTGTGGTGGTTTTGTGATGTCAAAAAAATCCCACATAGGACCCATTTCACTCACAACCAAAAATTACAGACTTTGACCTCAGATCCCTGGAGGTGAAAGGACTGCATCAACTTCCTGCGGAGCAAGCCCCTAAATGCAGCACTTGTATGAAACTGGAGCACAATAAATGTTTTCTTTGAGCAAAACCTGTAGGTCTGAAATTCCTAAGCAGCTCTGATCTCCTACAAAGCTGACTCTTTAGGGTACTTGGGGGAGGCGAAGCTAAAGCAATAGTAAGCAGCTCCCTCACACCTCCAGCCTTCTCTGAGGTGGTTCAATTATTTCAGACATGCCTATTGAGGAAACCTGAACCAAAATGAAAGCTATGATCAACCCTGAATGCTGGGAAACTCGGACTCTAGTGTGCACTTTACAATGGGATTTTATCTGCATTACACGGTACACATAAATCACACACCAGTGTCTCCCAAAGGAAAATCAGATTTGGATGAGGACTTTGCAGCAGGGGTTGCTCTGTGTGTGTGTGTGTGTGTGTGTGTGTATGTGTGTGTGTGTGTAGGCACTGAAAGAGAGATTGGGGAGGGGGTGGTTTCTAATCTTCACACTTCTATAATTAAAACTGTGCTGGAGGCTTGAAAGTTGGAAGAGGCAGCTGGTGTCACACAGACCCGCTTGTTCTGCCAGACAGCCAAACTGTCCTCATTTAAAACTACAATAGAAACCAGATGCGGGAGGAGAAGAGAGTACGGAGCAAAGCATCAGTCAGAAGGGAAATCGAGTTATAAACATACTACACACAAAAGACAATACTTCTCTTCCCCTGGACAAAAATAAACCCGAAGGACAGTCACAGTAACTAGTTCCACTCTTACTGGATATCACCAATGGAGCTCAGCATATGCAGGCATTCACCTTCACCTGGGCCTTTTCCATGAACGCAGGACATGTTATCTTCTTTACACGCGCATGCTCCTCCTACTACAGCCAGGTATTATGTCTCCTTCCCATCCCAATCCCTTGGGCTTCCAGTACAAGCAATGTGCACTGAGCCTCTTGCCTCTCAGTGCTGCAGGGAGGGGGATCTGTCCCTTCTCCCGCCTCTTGCAAACCACTGCGCTACCATCCTGCAAACCTCCCCACCAGAAAGCAAGCTGCTCTAACTATTTGCCTGCCTGGCAAAGGCTTGATCTTGCACAGGGCCAAGCACTTGGGATCAAAACCAGCAAGACCTTTAAGTCTTGCTACAGCACCAAGCAGCCTCACTAGAGTCAACAGAAGGGACGGAGACTAGCCTCCTGGTCTCCCACTAAAATCAGCAAAGAGAGAGAAAGACCCTGGTCCAGCAGGAGACACAAGCAGCGGCCTAGGAGGTGTTCAGTGTTGCCTTCTAGAAGAAACTCTTTGTCTCCACAAACTACAGAAGGATCCTGGGGAGGCTGCTAAGTTAGGCACCAAAATTAGACAGTATGAATACTGTCCAGTAAGCCTGTGCTTGAAGTTAAGCATGTGCTAACCTGGACTAGGGCATGTGTCCAGAGTACACAGAACCTAATAGGACTGAATACTGCCACAGGCCTCATTTTTCTCTTTATACTTCCGTTGTTCTCTCAAAAAGCTCCTTCAAGGGATAAAAAGTAAAAGTGGAGCTACTGGGGTCTTCTTACAGGTCAGTCTAGCGTCAGGGAGGAGGTTTCATGT